CCTGCTCCCCCGGTCCCCCCATGGCTGCCCCGCTTGCCAGGGTTCTGTCCCTTTAAGAAAAAAAAAGGAGAGAAAAGCCCCGGTCTCACAGCTCCTGGTGCAGCCTCGGGATTCGGGGATTCGGGGGCTGGTGCGGAGCCCCCAGTTCGCGGGGCAGTGGGGACTGCCCCCCACCCACAGCAGCTGTGAGTCCCGGGGTTTCTTCAGGTTTTTTTTTTTCCTCAAAGGGCTGGAGCCGGCCCATATGGGCACCTGTGAGGTGGCTCCCACGCAACGTGGGGCAGCAGGGATTGCCGCCCGCCCGGCAGCACCTGCTGAGCTGGGGCTTTTCTTCCTGCAAGTGCTGGGCGCGGGGGCAGGTGGGGCAGCCATTGCTGGGCTGGGAGAGGGGCGGGGGATGGGCCTGGCCTGGCTGATTGGAGATTCGGCCGAATCGACTCGGGACAGTGATTCGAATCACTGCATTGAATCACTGTCCCCCAAATCAGCCAAATCCAAATCCGAAGCAAATACCAGCCGCTTTACACAGGCCTACAATTTGCTAGTACTAAATATAATGGCTTGAATAAGGAACTGGGTTTTGGCCTGAGATTATGATTGCAAATCCTTTTGCGGCCACCCCCACCATGCCTCTGTGGCACTGGGGGGGCTCTCCTGGACACCCCTGACCAGAGTCTTGCCGGCCCAGAGTGTGGATTCTTCATGCCAGGCTGCTAACTGGCACCCCGCCATGCCCGCTGCACTAAGTATATGGGCTCGAATAAGGAATTTCTTTTGGACGGCAGCCATGGGTGAGACTCCCTTCCCAAGTGACTTGGCTAGGAGGGAGCGCCCCAGCTTGGTTTGCCTCTGACTGTGACTGTGATCCATTTTGAGCTACAGTTAAAGGTTAATAGTTAAGGTTTTGCTTAGGGAGTACCACTGTTCCCCTTTTCCTTTGTAATAAACTTGTTTTAATTTAACATTTGCTAGTGAGCGAGCAGGTTGCTTTAAATTATAACACCTAGTTTTAAGTTATTTTACCAAGTTTTTGGGTGGCAGCTGGAGGTGAATGTGAAACGCTGTTGAAAAATGCCTAGGGGCCTGTATACACATGCTTTGGGTGGGGAGAAGGGTGCTTTAAACAGAACAGCTCAGAGAGCCACTCTAATTAGAGCGCCCACAGTGTCACGTGTATTCAGTGTCCTGCGCTTCAAAATGGCAGGGGGGGAGGAGGGTGCTTTAACTAAGCTGGTTCGAAGATCTTTAGTTAGTTAGTTTAGGCCCTGAGAGGCCCTGTGTCTGAGCTTTTAAAGGAGGGGGGGAAGTGTGGCAGAAATGCCACCATCTGTGTCCCTCTCCAGAGACCTGTCTCTGCCAGCGTGAGAGGCGGGTGTTGAATCCCTCAGGGTGGGGATCTCCCTCCCTGCCTACATGACAAAAGCCTGGTGCCTGGGAGGCGGATGCTCTGGTCACCTGGGGAGGGGGAGGGAAAAGCCCTGCACACAGGCCCAGGTAGCCAGGGATGCCTTTTTAGATTGGTTGGCTTGTGGCCAGTATTGGCAGCTTCGATTGGACCGGGCTGCTGAGGTCAGAGAGGTTATTTAAGGGCCCGGGCCAGGAA